AATTACTCTTGCGGTATGACGGTATTTACAATATTGTTACATCCCTAGAAAGTAATGATCTCTGATGTCTTCACTTTGACTATTTTTATTGCAGAAAAAACAACAAACATTATTTGTTGTGTTCCTCGTGATTTTTATAATAAAAAAAAAAAAGGTAGGAACAGCATTCACCACTTTGTAATGTTGGCAATGTGGTCAATCAAGTGGTGTTTTCTGGACAAGTAAAAAGTATTGTTTTGTTTTCAGAAATAATGAGTTCAAATTAAGTCGGTTTTTACATAAAACAAGCAAAATAACATTTTTTTAGGTTTGACAAGATGCAGGACAATAACTTTTAATAAGAAAAGCATTTTTGCAATGTATCTTGGAGAATAATGAAATGGGCATTACACTTCAATCTCTCACCACAATCTCTCTTAGTGGTTTTGCAACCCAGGCTCATTGTGGAAATGTAGTCCCGCGGACGTTTCTGGAGACCGCGGAATACGTCCCGGGAGGTTCCGCGCTGTTCTCGCGTGAACCCACCAGAGGCCGCTGTCTGACTGACCGGATGATTGACTGCACGACCGGCCAATCGGCTGACCCGCCCTCCTCCTTCCCTAAACCCAACCAATTTTACCGATTGACCCGCCCGCCCGCCCGCTCGCTTCCCTAAACCCGAACAACGGTTTAAAAAAGCCGTCCAAAGTTCAGATTTTTTTCCCCGCGTTTTCGGATTTCACCGCGTTCTCACCCTGTCACAAAACTCGTTCACTTAATTTTTTGGATTCTGTTTTTGTCTTACCTGATTGCTGGAACCGCTCTTCCCCGGACTCGAAACCGATCGCCGTGGTCAACTCCTCTCTGCAACCCGAGCCTGCCGACGTACACGGTGAGCTGAGTGGACAAACGGGTTGCAGCGGGAAAGCCCTCCACAAGGAGGTAAGCGGTCGGCCGGCTGGCAAGCGCGAAAGGGTAGCATTTTCTTAAAAAAAATAAATGCAGCCGTACGTACCTGCCGGGAGGTATTCCGCTGTCTCCAGAAACGTCCGCGGGACTACGTTTTCAGAATGAGCCTGGGTTGTGGTTTTGTCTTGTTTCTAGTCCAATGAAAACAGACAACTGCTGTGATTCCTGTATTTTAAAGCCTAAAAGTTACATTATATACATACAAACATGTGTATATATATTTATATACAAAATATGCAATAAGCAATTTTGCGATTGTCAATATTTCTTGCAATATAACCTTTCCCTAAAGCAAAGCTCTCTATATTAGCTTTTTATTTATTAATTATTTATTAGATTTTTTTCATCTAAAAAGTGTCGTTCTTGCATCTCTTTTCAATAGGAATATTGCGTATACTATATCACGATCACGTTAACTTTTTCGACATATTGTGCATCCCTAATTCTGCTCATGATCCTTCTGAATGATGACTTGATGACACGTTTGTGATTATTCTCAGTGTTGAATGAGTGTATTGATGAACTTGCCCTTGTCTTTCTGCATTGGCAGGCTGTTCTGGCATCCCACGCACACACACCAGCGGCTTCAGCTCGACCTGTGGCTCCCAGCAGTCCTGTGAAACAGCCCTTCATTCGCACCCTGAACCAGACGAGTGGGATCCTGACGCCCAAACCCCCCAGCAGCACCCCGAGAGACGGACGCGCACGCAAGACTCTCACACACTCCACAGTGCACAGGTCAGACTCACATTAGTGTCCTCATTAACCAGCAGCTGCTTTCTTTTTGTATTGTGACGCAGCGAGAAACGGAATATTGAATGAGAAAGCTCACTAATTCAAGTGCCAACTGGATCAGTTGGTGTTTCTGTGTGGAGTTTGCATGTTCTCTCGTGTTGGCGTGGGTTTCCTCCGGGTGCTCCGGTTTCCCCCACAGTCCAAACACATGCGCTATGGGGGAATTGGGCAAACAAAATTAGCCGAAGTGTTTGTGTGTGTGTGTGTGTGTGAATGAGTGTGTATGGGTGTTTCCCAGTACTGGGTTGCAGCTGGAAGGGCATCAGCTGCAACTCTGGAGTGTATCAATAGTGTCTGAGCAGTTTGAGCGCTCGCTGATATCCTGAATGCAGTTAATGCGCTGCTCATCCGCTCTATACACACACACACATTCACACACACACTACACATGCGCACACACACACTTGCTCTCTCTCACACACTACATATGGACACACACACTGCATACTTACTAGTACACGTACACAAACAAACACACACACACACACTATCTACACATGCACAATGTACACTACACATTGGCATCATGCACACACATACTACCTACTACACACACACTACACATGCATGCACACATACACACACACACATACAAACACACATTCACACACACACACTCTCTCTTTCACACACTACATATGTACACACACTACATACGGGCACACACACACACACACACACACACACACACACACACATGCACACACACAAACGCAAATACGCTCACTCACTCACTCACTCACTCACACTCTATACACACACACACACACACACATGCGCACACACACTTGCTCTTTCTCACACACTACATATGCACACACACTGCATACTTACTACTACACGTACACAAACACACACACACACACCATCTACACATGCACAATGTACACTACACATTGGCATCATGCACACACA